CCCCCCCCCCCAGTCGCTCCTTCATTTTGATTTCATCAAAGCAGTGTGCTTGCCATTCATTTAATCTTGCTTCTTCTCAACTATACACAAGAGCTGTCACTCATTTCCAGCTCCATTCACTCTTTTAACCAACGTACGAAACCCAGAAAAGTAACAAAATACATATACTACTATCTCGCACTTCTTTCGCCTTCCCGCCCACACGCGATTCAAAACAAAGCCAGTCCAATTGAAATCGCACACCACACAGCCATTCGAGCCCTTTATCCCGTTGTGGTCAAGATGCAGTTCAGCAAGGCTCTTCTCATCATCACCGCCGCTCTTGCGCCTGTCGCCCTCGGAGAGGATGCGCCAACCAAGACCCTCACCATCCAGGTCGTTCCTGCAACGACTTCGAACCCGGCGCCGATTTCTACGGTGTCTCCCAGCTCTTCTGCTTTATCAACCCACACTCCTTCCAGCTCCGCTAGGGCGTCTTCCACTCCACTCTTTTCCAAGACCCCTTCTGCGACTCCTTCTGTGACACCCTCATCGTATATCGTCCCCCAGGCTACTGGTGGTGCCTCTGCCATTAAGCTCCCTAATGCAATGGCTGCGGGAGTTGTCGCTGTTGCTGGCTTCATGGTGCTCTAAAGGCCTTGAGCAGTTCAAAGCAACGCGCATGGACGACAATGGTCATGTCTCTGTCAATGAACCGATATGACTGCGGTAGCACCATCTGTATTGCTTCTGAACACTTGATTGATGTGCTTTGTGGGCCAAGCATAGAGAAACGATAATACCAATAGGAAGTTGGCAAACCCAACTGCATATCAACTACTCCTCCAAAGCCAACTGACTTCCCTATACCTGTCTCATTACTCATGCGATTCTCCTGAGCAGCTTCAGCCAAGACTAGGGGTTCTACATGATGGTGTTCATCATTTGTTGGGACGGGTCGCCATCTTTTCTTTTCTTTTACTATACTGTGATTCGAATTTTGATTGTCAGCCTCGTTGATAGCTTAATTCCCTGTCACCCATATTACGATTTCGACCTTTATACCCTTTTTCTTTCTTGATCTTGAAAATCTTTTATTGGATTTCTTTTGGCTTCACCCGGCCCCAGTTCATGTTTCGAGGTAACGAGTGTAGGACTGAATGGACTGCCGATGATTGAAACTTGCCTTGCTCATGCTTAATTTAATCTCGAGATGTTGCCTCCGACTATGCTACTATATAATACAATGTTCTAGTATTTACGCACTAGTAAGGATTAGTCGATTGTCATATGATGTTCAAAAGAAATACTTCTATTTGGCACAATATTAGATAACATATGGACAATAGTACAAGGATTTTATGGAAATCGAACCATAAAGGCTGAGTATAGGACATAGATTGGGAACTCTTGTTCCTTTAACCCTAATCAAGCCATGTTGATCAAATGGCCATTTGATGTACAACCAAGACGTCTGGTATATATACACGCGAAGGAGAGCTCTTTAACCCTTGAGCGTCGCCTCGTATCTGTGGTTGAGTTGGTTAGCAGACAAATATAGAAGGGTGCTGATAGGGATACATATAACGAACCTCTTCCCTCTGAATGCCCATAACCCCCAGTTTCCGCAAGAAACATCATGAGGGTCTAAGTCATTAAGGTCCCACCTCAGACTGCGAAAGATGTTTTCGCCTGGTTCCAACAAGATATCAAATTCACCGGCACATTTCTCATGGACCCAATTGATATCCCTCTCCATATCCCACTGCGTATAGCCAGTGCTGATAATCGGGACCTTTGTCTCTAGTAGTTGTGGTAGCGTTTCTTCCCATTCATGGGAGCTGGCCGGGTGTCCGAGACCAGGGTGGAAGAGCATGATGCAATCTAAATATGGATCGAACGGCTGGAAATATTGTGCTTTGTACATTGTGTGGAAGTAGTCGACGTACGTTGTAATCTTCATCTGCCCGCCAAGTCTATCTTCCACGATCCCTCCGAACGGGTTCTCGGGCGTCCGTTCAGGAAGTGGGAACTCAGCGTCTCGGTTGGCCATGCTCTCTGGTCCAATAAAAACTAAATGGATGAGGGATCGTGGGAAGATGTAACTGAGCTGAAGCCAGACTTCACGAGGCAGAGAAGATTCGGCACGTGCCCCCAGAATGAATATCCTAATCGGTGGGGCCTTCAAGCGCAATCCTTGAATATCAACTCCTTCTCCAGTCTTAGGAGGGTGTAGAGTGTATCGAAGCGCTGAATAGACAGGGTCAGTAGGTGGGTTCATTCGTATTGATCTAGGATAACTTACCGCTCACGCTCTTAAGTCCCTCGACTGTAAGTCTACCACCTTTCCGAACGCTGTAAGGGCTCAGCTCGTGCAAGACACTTCCAATAGTAAGAGGGTAAGTGAGCATCCTAGTCACTTGTCGCATACTCCGATCATGGTTGATCGCATCGAACTCTCGCGTATACAAAAATGTGTCCCAGTTCGTCATGTTGATGACGAAGTTATCATCTTGAAGACCTGGATAAGAAAACTCGGGGAAAAACCGACCAGAGTGGAGATCGTGATCATCCTCGTTTATCTGTCTGATGGTCTCACAGATCTCCAAATGTGCCTCAAAATCATCCATCCAGTGGCCTTCTGAGCAATAGATTGGGACACCACAGTCAGGGCATTCAAAATGTGAATGAGCTGGGGGACTCGTGCTTTGCTGGCCCTTTCGCGACTCGGGGTCATGTGGGGAGACTGGTGCACGGGTCTGTTGGTGACTAGGGTGAGGGCAAAAGGCATTTTGTTTGATAAACGCAGCACGTTGCCGAATCGAAGGTGAAGGCGACCGAGAAAATGGATGGAACAAGTTGTTTGGTTGCAGCAAAGCACGCGTTTCTGGCGAGTAAGTCGACGTGGCGGACGTGGCTCGCTGCACACATTGCGGAAAGTTGTGTGATATAGCATTGGAATTAAAGGACAAAGGCGTAGTGGCCCGCTTGATATGGCCTTGGAGATTTTTGGATGTGAAGCGATTGTCACTTCGTGAACCAAAGCTTCGCACGAGGGAGACCGATGGCCTGTATATCCGCCTTGGGTTATATGCCGTCTGCAATCGAATCATAGGGCCATGAGCCGCAACATTTCGCCGGAGCACCTGTAGACAACGTCCACAAGTATATTCGCCAGTCATTGTGATGGTTGCTAGAAGACGACCCAAGTAGCAATCATCTGCTGATGCGGAGAGTTGGCAATTGTTCTTTCTGAGGAACGATCCCGCATTGGCACGTGATCAAAGGGTCATGAAATCCAAATTGGATCCATATTACTGAGGGCCTTTGGGTGAATTTCTATAACTTTGTGCCCATTATTAATTACTGATGATCATATGATCCCACTCGAGCAAAATCTTTGTACCCAAATAAAATCACGAAACAAGGCTGTGACACATTGAAAGACTACTAGAACTGCATGTAGGATTGAACCCCAAACCACCGAAGTGCTGCATAGATATCATCCTCAGAAGATGTCCTCACATATACTCCAGTCCTGTGCTTCCCTGGCAGCCCAATACTTCCCATTGTGCGCCCAATACTCTTCACTAGTAATTGGGCACTTTTTCCGAATGAAGAACTTTGGCTGGTACTCTTCTCCTTTTGTCTCCCTCTCTCTTCGTTTGGCTCGTTGCTTTTCTTCAACTCGATGCTTTTCGTTAGCGGCAATATCGTACTCTCCCTCCTCCATTGCACGTTGATCGGGCCGAAGTCGGGTGTCAGTTGGGGGGAGATACTGTTTCAGATCTTCCGGAAGGGCATTCAACGTGATAACGAAAGGCGTTAAGTTGAACGGGATACCACTTGGGCGGGTGTGGCATTGCCATACCAAAAACGCCTTAGACGACTCCGGATCTTGACTGGATACGTCCATCTCATATCCAGGAGTATGGCGAGCAAAAATCTTGTCGTTCCAACGGCCACCAATGCTCCATTTCGGGGATCCGTCCTTGTCTACGATCTTACCGGCCACCTGATAGGCAGACGAGGCTTTCCAGCCCCTTGGCTTGAAATCAAGATAGCAGGCCTCGCCGGTCGTCCAGTTCTTGATCTCCATTAACCCATAGTTGTCAACTGTCGGGTTACCAGTAATAATGCCAATGACAGACGAGGTGACTTTTTTCCACGTGTAGAGCTCTTCGCCTCCCGAAGCAGGGCGTAGCTTCAGGAACCAAGTTCCAAGAAGGTTGATATCAAAGGATTTCCCGTAGAACTTGGACTTAAGAGCTGATTCACCCTATTGAAACTCTTGTCAGTGTGGTGAAATATCACTTTCATCCTATGGCTTGACACTTACATAATAATCCCACTTTGGCGATTCCGCCCAGGCAGCACCAATTGGCGGGTGGTGGCTGACTTGCTCAACGAAGAACCGGTAGCCTTTATCGGGCCTGACATACTCGAATGTCTCCCCCAGAAGAGGGTTGAACGGTTTGGCAACACGGCCTATTGTCGAGGCGTACTCACTCGCCGCATAGGCAGCGACATACACCATACGTTCCATTGAATCAGATCGATCAGCAGCCACATCAAGAAGATCCGCATACTCCAGGTCTTCAGCCACACGTTGTAGTAAAGACGTGGGTTCGTTGAAGGAAACCGGCAGAGTCATTTTGGTCATGTCTTTCCCAATCATCGATTTCAGAATACCCTAAGATGATGATGATAATAAGTAAAACGTCGCCTGTTGCTTACTAGCTTGGTAGTGGTCAAATATCACTCACCCACAAGGATATTTTTGGCCGATTATCATAATCCATCTTCAATTTCGTTCGGATGGGTACCTCATATCCTTTGAACGATGGTGCTATTTCCAGCCGTTTTATGGCCCTCAACTCGGTTCTTTCTCCCACCGACTTTTCCTTTTCGGTACTTGCTTCTGTATGTGCTAAGTTCTCCACTTCGATCTCCCCGGAGTCAATCGCATCAAAGAATTCGTCCTCGTTATCCGATGCTGAATCACATAGATCACTGATCTGAGAAAGAGTCGACTTCTTACGACGAAGTGGTCGCCCTGCTTCTTGCTCGTCAGCCTGAGAAAGACTCTCAGCTCCTGAAGCATGTGCCTCTATCCGCTCGTCAGTCCCGTCATCTTCTTCGCCTGTAGATGCCATGCGAGATGGCGCTTTACCGACAGCACAACTAGTGGCTGCTGACGAGACCTCTAAGACTTCCTTGAGGGCACGCTTCGTACGTCGGCGCTTCTCCTCAGACTCTCCCATCTTTGACTGTAGCTCTTCATGTTCCTGTGCAACTCGTGCCATGCTTTCTTCCCACATCTTACGGAGATGTGCTTCCCTATTCAATCGATACTGCCAGTAGGCATCGCGATCCCGGGATATCTTGAGGAGATTTTGCACTAGCCCCTGGAGACTGCTCACGGCTGCTCCATAAGCAGCTAGAGCTTGATCAACTGCCGAGTCCGCGAGCGACAAGTTTGGGTTTCTCGACTTCTCAGTTTGCAGTGAGGACGCTACACTTGCGAGGATATCAAGTTGAAGATTTGCAGACTGCGCAGTGATATTCAAAGCGTCTTTATCAGCCATTGGCACCTCCCGACTGGACGCATAATCACCATAATCATCATCATCACCCTCGCCTTCGGGCACAGTGGTTACATGGCTGGCCACCCGATTTACCTCATTTTGCAGAACACCCTGGTCGTATGATCCTTGGAAAGAGCCTTCCTCATCTGCGGGTATGCTCTCCAGTGTTGTGCGAGACGCCTGCGCGCTATGTCTCGTGACACTATTACCTGGAACACCTAGAGATGGAGCAGTAAGGCCCTTCCCGCTAGACTTGGCAGCAGCGAGGCAGGGTGAATCAGATGAGCTATCAGCTGTTCGGCCCTCAATCTGTTCAATCTTGGCTTGACGGAGCACCTCGGCATGCCGAGATTGGCGTCTCTCTTCCTCTTTTGCCTCATCTTTTGCCCACTGTATAGCATTATTGAGAGTCCAGAACCAACGCTTTGCCTCGACAACATGATTAGCTTTGAGGTGGTATTTGACGGATGATTTGCCATGAATTTCAAATCGAGTCTTGTCTTGCGAGTCCATGTTGAGTTTAGCGATTTTCATATTAATAGCACCACGACATGCAGACCCGGCATCATCTGATCAAAATAAGTTAGACACCAATGATGGTTGTAACAATTTGGGGCATCTCTCGTCGCTTACCTTGATGCTTATAATAGCTAAGAACGCCGTCTTCGAGTACAAACCACCGCAGTTTATAACCACTAGTGTAGTTTGTCCATTTCTTCAAGTAACCCCTCATTTCGCGAGAATCCTTTCCCGCACAAGGTGCCTCCCCTACACTGGCTCGGCCCAAAACGCCTTGACCCGAATTGGTCCCAAGAATGGCCTTCTCTTGGATGCCGCGCTGAGCAATAACAGCAGCGGGAGACTTTTTGACTATTGCACGTGTCCTGTCGTCCTTTGTGACATCCTGTGGCAATTTACCCTTTTTGTCGCGGCGGAAGGGATCTGCCCCATGCATCAGTAATAACTGGATGAGTTTCGTATCTTTCCTCCTGGCACCCTCATGCAGCAGAGTGCCGCCAGACTGAACAGTAGCAGTATCAGTGACCAGGTCCAAACTATTGATGTCCATTATTCCTTCAACCCGTGGCTCTTCCAGGACCTTCTCCAGCTGTTCATAGTCACCTTTGGAGATGAGTGACTGGATTTCTTGGGACTTGCCGTCAATGAAGAGCGATCGTGCAAGCTGGAGTTGTTGAAAGATCTCCGGGGTGCGGGCAACATCTAGAGCTGTTTGGCCACGGTAGTTGACAACTGAGTCATTGAGAGGAGGACGATTCAGTAGCTCACGAACTAATGATCCTCTTCCGAGCTGGGCGGCGAGGTGGAGTGGTGTATTACCATCTCTATCACGCGCGTTGATATCGAGTTCATAGCCGCTAGAAAGAATGTATTCAACAACTTGTGGTTCGGCGCATTGGATCGCTAAATGGAGCATAGTCGTTCCGGAGAGACTGTTTGCTCCCTGAGGATCTTTAGTCTCTTTGATAGCTTTTGATATCGCGGTTGTATCCCCACTCCGCAGGATCTCAAAAAGTCTAAATGTCCTTACAGACTGGTCTAGCGACATACTAATGCTGTCTGCAGTTGTAAATGCAGCCAGCTTCTCGATATGATCACCGCTTTGATTGGAGCGTACCTGCTCCAGAGCGTTTTCGTCCGACATAAGGGGAGCGTTTACTTCTTGACGGGACTGTCGATGGGTTGAGCTTTGAGTAACAGCTAGAGCAGATAAATGTGGAGTATCGTTTACTGGAGCGGAGGTAACAGATTCGGGCGTACCACTATCGTGGCCAGGCGTCCCCTCGTGGTCGTCTCTCGATTTATCACGGTGCAGAATTGCAAGCGCCAAGGCACTTCTGGAGCGTTTATGCCTAAGGGATTTGGGCAACACGAATTAGTAAAATACCCAAAGGGTCTAAAGGGTCTGCGAGCCACTCCTTGAATCGCGAAGGCGATGAAAAACGCCAGGTTCAAGTGTCAAATGATCTGAACGATAAATGACTACTAGGCTATCTGAAGCCAAGGACTCCAAGTATGCCTACAGCAACACACGGCCTCGACATATGATCCATGAAACCAAGGTCGTTTACTTCAAGAAGCCGCAGCGGAACTTACCCTGCACCCTTCTCCGTCATCGCTTTCTCGCCACGAGCGACACTTTAAATCTCCTCAAGTATTGCGGGGAAAGATGCATAGAAAGAGAGGTGACAGCTGAGGAAAGGCGTGGGGCTGTTAATGTAGGAAGTCACGAACTATCGCTAGAATGTTGATTGGTGAGGTCAAACTTTCATTCAACTCGTGGGAGCTGATGATCGTCGCAAAGGGCCCCAAATTAACAGCAGGTTTTGTTATCCCGCGCCTTGGCGAGAAGACAGACGGTGGGATCTCTTCCAGCCAAAAACATTAATTATATTGCCACTCCCATAGGACGCCAAAGATGACGGCTGCCGGCTCTAGGCTTCCACTTGGGAGTCAAATGTAGGATCGGAAGGCAACGAAGATGAAGAAGCGGTGGCTCAGTGATGGGGAAAACAGGGTAAGAAGCTATGAAAGCTGTCACATGCATCTATTCAGAGAAAGCTAACAGACTCATTGCCATGTGCAACTTATGGTTGCATGTGTAATTATAATGTACGATTATCCACAAAATCTAAACTCGGCGTCTAAATAGATACAATATACAGCGTCAAAGGACAAAAACTTCGTCATTTCGTCACTCCGCTCACCAAGACAATGACACTACCAAGTTGTCGCTTCAAATCTTCCTTATCAACATCATGTGTATCCTCAACCTCACCCCACATATCTGTTTGCCACTTTACCTCCAAACTGGACGCTTCGGCTGCTTCTTCGATACCGAATTTCTTCTGATTCGGTCGTTGTACGTGGCGTAAATTTTCACTCCACTCCGATACCAGCCTCACAGCCACCAGTAGGCTCTTTGAAGCAAGAATACCCCTTTCGAGAGCAGCTAAATCGTGCGCTTGTAGGCCGAAAATCCATTGTTCAATAATATCATTAGTGGCTTGAGTTTGCGACACCGGCAGGATACTCTCAGAATCCAAAATGGGTCTAATCTCAATACCAGGCCACACCATGGTGCTTAAAAAAGAGATTATATTTTTCGCAACTCTCATCTGGGCCTCTCGGAGACTTTCTGGTCTCCGACCATGCTCGTCAACTTCTTCAATGCTGTAGTCATTCTTCTCTGGCACCCAACAAAGTAAGGTATCTGTCTCTAGATAGCGCATTGCAGTTTTCACAATTTGGCCTCTTGTAATCGTCTCGCCGTTCGCGTCTTCTCGGGCAATGTCCGCGGCTCGCGCAGCGAGAGAAGTTAGTGGAATCATATGATTTTTCAAAGCTTGCTGGGCTGAGGTCATGACATCCCATTCCAGAGCGATCAAATGCGCAAGGTGAGGCTTTGTTGGCGGGATATAGAGGACATCTTTTGCAGGGGTTCGAACAGGTCTGGTGTCTAGTAGCACTTGGTAATCTCCTTCTGGAAGGCCACAGGGATGCAATCAGTCATATATTTACACATAGAACAGACTATAAAATATACCTGGCTTCATCTTAACATCAACGCTCTTCCAGAACCTCTTTTTGAGAGTTGGAGGCTTTGCCGTTCGAGTGTGTAGCTCATTGCCATTTTGTTTTCTCGTGAGTTCATTGTACTCTGGAGCGACGGAGGGAGCCTTCGGAGGAGGGCCATGGGCTGTGACTGGATGAGCAATGGCGGCCTTCGGTGGGGAAAGGTGCAAAGAGCGCAACATCGCAACGTTGTGTCGCGTTGTGATCGAAAATATTCGCCGTGAAAAAGCCCCGGGGGCTTGAGAAAAACACAGCATCTTGTTTTCAACGCCCCCTTTATGTACCAGGGAGGTAGCAGGAAAATTGCAATCTGCAATGCTTAGTAAACAGTTAATGTGCAACTATAGGTGCATGTATACTGTGCAGTACGTGAAAACAGGATACTACCGGGTGAGGCTTGTCCTAGTAGTACAGTATGTGCGTCGGGTTGCTACCTCAGGCACTAGTTGAAGCGGGTCCTGTGCTGCTCGCCACTTCCGCCACACTTGATCTGGTGTACTCCGGAGGTAGTAGTACTCAATTTCTCTGGATTACATAGTCCACAGAGCCTACTATAAAATGGCCAGTACAGATTACAGATTAGGTGGTCAAGTTCTGGACGTTCTATATATATATAGTGTTAGTGTGTGTGTGTAATATGGCAAACACAAGCTCATAGTGGGTGTTTCTTGATATATCCCCTTAGCTTGTCCATCCACAAGTAACCTGGAATGTCGGCCGTGTTGAGCCTCTCAAAGTCAAATTTTATCATTACTAACTTGTAGCTTATTGCACGGTATAAAAATCAGTCAATCATCAATGGCGAAGGTTCAATTCATTAGAAATTACACCGAACGGTACTAATAACAAATGAACAAACCAAAGGCTCGCGAAAATTTCTTACTTCAGAAAGCCTCCCAAACTCCAACTCCGCTCTAACGAATGGAAGAAAATGAGAAAAACAAGGGGTGTGGCACGAGTGGTAGGCGATCTTGCCCACGCCTTAGTAATTTACAAAAATATCTCCAGGTCGCCATTTTATTCTCCTTCTCTCTTTGTTTTATTGGGCATTCGGGGTAGGGAGTCAATAAGCCCATAGAAAGATAAAAAAAATATCTGTCCCATCTTGCGTTGTTGAGTCTGATCACTGCGGGTTCCTAGGTGTCTCGAAAGAAAAGGGGGGGGAGAGAAAGTTTAAAGGAAAGGGGAAGGCAGAAACAATAAAATATAAACACGTATAAAGAGAGCGCGACAGCAGAAGGGTTATTGAAAAGTGAAGCTGTGCTGCAGTATCATATAACGAGATATAATGCAATCAGATACCGAGGAAGAACCAAAGAGAAACCCGACAAGAGAGGTGGGTCAAAGAAGGTCGAGAACCTTGGAAGTTCTAAATCTTCGAGGTCTCATTTTGTTCAATCTCAAGTTGCATCGTTGTCATCGAGGCATTCCTTCGTAAGCATGAAAGAAAAGAGAAGTTAGATCATGGACAGAGCAACATTTTCGAAATGTCGCCATGACCTAGATGGGACACTGGTTGGATGGCTCCATCGAGTTATCGGTGGTATGCCTCGTTCGTCAGGTGATAATTGCAGAGCACATTCAATGGTGACAAGTTGGACGAGGTACCAATTCCCCATCAATCACCCATAGCCAGAATTATTGGGTGATGAACTTCGGGTAATAAGGTGACTTCGGACGGTCACTGCCTGTCCGCTTCTTCATACGCTCAGCGTCGTAATCGTCAGCACCATCTCTGCTACCCCATGTGGTCTGTGAGTACAGGGGAAATGCCCGTGTTAGCGAAATCTTTACATGATTATCCTGAGTGTGCCAAATGGGGACAAGAAACTTGGTACTAGGTATACACTCGCGGAGGCGGAAATGGACCAAAGAAAGAACAGAGGTGGGGCTAGAGGAAAATGGAAAAATCGAAGGAAGAGGCAACCAACAGCTGACCACACAAGTTAAACAGACCGTGACCCAAAATATGCACAACACTAGGAGACCCGTGACCAAAGCATATTTTGGGGCGGGGGTGAATGAGTGGTTTCAGATTGCTTGAGCAGAGAAGTGGCTGGAACCCAACTTCAAGCAGAAGGCTCCAAAACAGACCTTAGAGCTCTGCAACCTGCCTATTCTGCTGGAGATTCGAGAAACTAAAAAGGGAGGCTAATCTCAATTTGTAACTTACCACGTTGAGAGTCATGACTGCGTACATCTTTATTCCTCCGTGAAAATACCCAAAGAGGATAGACACAGGTAAGAGTAAGAAGTCAACGGGGTATCGGATATAATGCCCCAAAAGTTTGATGAATTTGCTAACAAACATCCATACCCCGAGGGTTTGCATTGCGAGTGCGTGTGAATCTTCCTCCCAAGAGGCCGTGGCTTTGTGGCACAGGAGGACGAGTAGCAAGTCGCCTAAGAGGGCCGGAGGTGACAAGGTGGTCAGATGGACAGCGTATGCGCTCCATGGCTGGCGACTGGTATCAAATTGTTAGCGTGTGACTTGGGGGAAGCTTTTTCTCCGTATGGTTTGCCAAATTCAGACATTGCACATATTGGCAAGTTACGTACGACTCTTGCAAATGATAAACTAGCCCCTTAAGGGACCCAGCTACCGCTGCCGGTTTGCTTGCGCTGCCGTAATGCAAGGCTGCGGTAAAGTGTGCATCTATACTTGATCCGGTATATTCGCAAGTGGGCAGCATACCAGAACAGGAGGAAGAGCCGGGAGATGAGGAAGGGGTATATAATGAAGTACTTACTACCAGATATGCTTTTCATGGAACATACTAGTGAGGTTGCTCCTCCAATTGCTCCGAGACCATCGTGCGCATTGCTTCAAAAATTTGGGGTTATCTTCCAAGGTAGTCAGGACTTCAGCTTCGGGGTGGTACTGCATAAAGGTCTCCCAGCCATGTGACACCATCCAACGTGTAATGAAGTTATCGTCGTCGGCGTTCAGTTGATATCTGCCAAACCACCATTCCTCATTTGTGAAAGCATAAGTAAAGCCCTCGTCTTGCAAAATGTCCGTCCTATACGCCACAGTTCGCCCCGACATACAGGGAAGACCTCCATCAACATGCGTCGTGGCCGCGCAATCAAAGTTTCTTCTCTCTAAGTAAAGAGCTCCTAAAAACCCCCAAATTCTCTGGGAGAATGTTGGTGCTGCAGCACGACGAAGCCTTTGGCAGGTCACTACACCTCCGTATCGCTCATCCTTCTCGAATGGTGCCAGAATCCATGGAAGTACTGTGTTTGGCCAACTCACATCATCATCAGCAAAGATAGTAATAGGCGTACGGACCTCTGGAATGGCCCTCGTCATCTGGCGGCGTTTATTAGGGTGCGTGACCGTAAAAAGCCGGATTCTCGACTTTGAAGCAGGCATCAAGCTCAACATTTTCTCGGCTCTCTTTCGATTTGCTTCGATGGTGACTAATAGGAGCTCATAAGGATGATTGTCAAGAATTGTTCTGATTGTCTCAACCAGCTCATCACCGCAGCCCTCAAGAGTAGGAAGGATGACAGTCACATCTTGTGCGGTCAACCTCGGGTTCTCTGGTGGGAGAATGGGCTTGAAAGTCCAGAAAGATACAAGGTTCACAATCAGGCGAAGATAACGGTAAACACTGTGAACGATATGTTAGTTATTCAGCGTCTAAATTAGTGGTCTGTGTAAACAGTATTCTAGCGCAACAACAGAATAAGGAAAGGTCGAACTACTGACAAAAGAGCAATGAATACTCGCATATATGGAAATTCCATGGCGTCACAAAGACAGTGAGTAAACTCAGACTTGTTTTTTGAAACCAGCAGAGTTCATGAATTTTTTCATCACTTTTTTCTTCTTGTCCTGACAAAACTTCCTCCTGGCACACCTCGAATAGAGAGTTTTAGCCGTGCGCGAAGCCACAAAAGTGACTAAAGCCGGAGGGTAAATGCGATCGACAGTTCGGCAATACTGCTGCTACGGGATCAACTTCTAATTGCAGTGGGAATAGGAACAATGAAAGAAGTAGAACTGGGGGATTGGAAGGTCGTGTTCAGTAAGGGAAATTCAACGAATAAAAAAAAGAATGGATGGTCCTCCCACGGGAGATGGAAGGTTAGAGTGAAGGGCAGTAGAGAAGGGGAGGGGAATGAATGAGGAAAAGAACTGGAGAGTTAGCAAATGTTCTTCCAACTAACAGATGCCCCTCGGTAGCTATATAGCTCTGGAAGGGGAATTCGCCTGGGCTAATTGGCTTTTCCAACGCAAAATATCAATACCTACAACACTGGGAAATTTTTATTTTGGTGCAGATGCCAGGGAAGGCACATGTTCAAGGCCGCATCCAGACAATCCATTGAGCCAATCCTCGAAAAGAAATAGAAAAAAGTTACGACTGTGCTCCAGTTCCTTTGTCATTTTGAGTGTCATGCAGGTGTATTTTTCCCTCGTGCGTCAGAGACCCTGGATCTAGATGAATTGATGGGATGCTGAGAGTGGAGAAGGGATTGGCGGCGGCCCATGCAGCTAAGGCACTACGGAGTATGCAGTGACATGGGCCAGAGAGTGGAGACAACTGGTGGTGTGTGTGTGGATATGATTCCTAAGCGCGATGAGGGTAGGATATTAGGGGGGCACTTTCCGGTTAGCAACAGTGTGATTGCTCTCGAATCGTCGAACACATACTGATTCTAAGGTAAGGTATGAAATAAAAAAGAATAATGCACAACATATTATGATTCAATATCTGGTGTGTTTCTCCACCACATTCTTCACTTCTACTACTACTCTTGAATAACGCCATCAATCATTTGCCTCAGGTAAAGTATACACTCAACCATAGCATCTAGTCGTACTTGTAGTACCTAGAACGGAACAAACGGTTCAATTATTGCTATCCATTCCTAAAATATCTCACTAATTTACTCATCCTGCTGTTGTAACAGTTATGAAAGCCCAATGGTATCAGTTATTTATAACTGTAATAAGAACATAGTACCTACCGAGTAGGTAGCTCACCCACCAAGCCTAACAAGTAATTACACTGACGAACCGATGGGCTAGCCCGTGTTGTATACTGAGCAAAGCAGAATCATAGGTGGGTTTCTCGGTCGGTTCGAGTCAGAAAGTCTTCATGTTCCACTCTCTATTTTATCGCATATATATTTAAATTGTTATAAATAACGAGTGGGAACGATAAGTTGATTATTCAAGTTTGACAACTTCTCTTAGGAGGTTTGGTCTCTGTCTTTCTCTCTGCTATTTAATACCTTGGTGGGGAATATTTTGCATTTGCTGACATTCTAGTTCATATTATTCATTGCCAGTTCTGGAACTGTCAGCATCACACATTAAAACTGTTGAACAAATTCCACTAGATAAGAATCCTCCCTCTGTAATAGCCCAAACAAACAATACTAAAGTCTACTAAGTTTCTATTGGTGATCCATTGGATTATTGAAGCATCAGTATCCCTAACGAAAATCGAAGGATAGGAGAGGTACCAAAGAAAGGGAAGGATTGGGGATAAACAGAGTAAAATCAAGAAATACAGAAAGAAGAGAAAATACACAGAAAAAATGGAACTAAATAGACCAAAATAAAGATATATCCAAACACAGATGCTCAACTCAAGGAGTCTTAGGTGGGTATACCTTTGCTAATGAAGACCTCATGATGTGAGTATTTGGTATTCGAGGAGCCTCCAATTGTTCAGACGACTTGGATAACCGACTGCTAGATTACCCATGAAACTCCAAATATTTCAGATAATCATGGGTACTAAACTTCCACAATTTTACATTTCCTAATCCCCACAGTGCTAGTCAGTCATGGCCAGAGAAGTCAGCCATTGTAGGCTAACTCTTTTTAGTATCGGATTTTTCTTGTTTCTTTTGCTTCAAAGAAAAGAGAAAAAAAGGTGGAAGGAGGAATCTTATTCAAGAGTGGAAAGGCTAAACAGGTTGCCTACACGCAAGTACTGGAAACAGAATTTCACTGCAACAGAATCAAATGCAGTCAAGATTACAGGATACTAAAGTGTAAAGAATGTATGCAGCCCTCGGCTTGAAATCTTGTGATAATACAAATGGTACAACTTAAAACCAGTATCGGGAAAAATGAAATTGTGGGAAACAGCGATTTAATTAGCGAGGCACGCAATCCAAGCTAGGCCACTTGTCCTTATTTGTCAAAACCGTCGTAATATGTGTGGCCTTTGCGCTCCAATAAAACGGGGCGCGGAGGTTAGAAGCTTATAATATCTCATACATAAACTTTCTTTCGCCCTTTACGGAGTACACCATCATTCTTATCAAGCGAACTTAGTTTGGGTGAGGGACACTGTAAGTGATAAAATAAAAGTACTTCTGACGTCTTTCCCCCACTCGAAATAGATTGGGCGGCAACAAAAATAAAATGTGGAAGTTATAGGAAATGTTCGTCGCCCTCACAACTTTGGTAATTTAACTAGTATGAGGAACGGAAGTAGTGAATATTTACCCTAGCCAAGGGCCTTCGAACCGAAAACGTTCAGGATAACGGTGATCCTAGCGGCGATCTTCCAACCCCGTGTATTAAGCCACTAGCAATGCTCGCTGTTGTGCTTGCTGCCCACAACAGTTGGCTCCTAGGAATTTATGGATCACGAAGCTTAGGTGGGGAGGACATCGACAACATCATAGGCTGGATGTGATACGAAGTCAAGCCCATTCCCCAGATGCTGGCTTCCACTAAACGGTGGAAGGTGAGGTCGGCTCCGGCACCGATGTTCTTTTAGCTCCAAAGTTAGATGGGTCCTGAGTCCTGACGCACAAGTTACCGAACGATGGTAGGGAGTAAGTACTAAGTCCTAGTAAGAGCAGCATCAGAACGGTTCATCGAAAACTATCTATGCGATACATGTAGCGCACCGCTATGTATAGATAGGAGAAATAAAAAAGGAACCAAAAGTGTAGAAAGGAAAAGAGGGAAATGGAGGAAAAGAGGGCCTGAGGGGAAAGACATGAGCTACAAGAAAAAAGTATGGAATAACGATATTAGGCGAAGTTAAAATAACAACTTCGAATAACATGGCATGATATACATTACTGATAACATAGATATTATGAGCTCCTTGCTGGCTTTTAATTGCAATAGCATTGATGTTGTCTACCTTTGAGGAAGCAAAAGCGCGGAAGGAAATGAAAAATAAAAATGGTTTAGAGGAGGGTAAGTCTAATCCCCGGCTAGTAAGATATGGAGTATGCCGTTCCTGATCGATCTGGGAGGTGTAGAGTTGATAACACAATGAATTTGTTACCCTCTCAGAGACAATAGTGTTCCTCCATACAGGTGAAGACTGAAATTTAAAATAGGCCTGACTTGACCAGCGGATACTCCAGAGAAAAGAAATTTAAATGGTCCCACCCAGCAATCAAAGTGCGCCCATCACTTGCAAAGATCGTTTGTATCCTAGTGAGAGAGGACTAAGTTGCGTTAATGGATAAACATTACCGCGAGTAAGGAGCTTTTTCAGATAATAAGAAGAAGAAGAAGAAGAAGAAGAAGAATTATAATAATAATAATAATAATAATAATAATAATAGTAATGATAATAGTAATAATAATAAATCAATGAGTAAATAAGAGGAGGATAAAAAGGAAGAAAGAAAATGCAAACAAGTACCAACTAGTAAAGAAAGACTCAATAAGCGCAGCTTGAGTTCGGCCCACCCGACCAATCGCCGACAAGGCCGTCGTAATTTTCAAAGAACAATCTAAATTCTCCGCCCGACTACTAGGAGTAACCATTATGAACCTGCGGCCCGAGCTCCTTTTTCAGTAAGGAGCAGATTTGAACAGCAGTTGACTTGCATGGTTGTTCAGTACTACCCAGTGGAGCCTTGGCAGTTGACATGCCTCGTGCTGATGGGATACATTGCATTCCGTATATAGGCAGACCACCAGCCCTAGTGGCTGCCGATGATAATCAACTCTCATGCAGCTTACCTGAAATGGCAATGTGCTTACCAGGCGGCGTTGTCTGTAGCCGGACCCAAGTACTAACTAGTACCAAGTATTGTGTCCTCCATTATGCAGTGTGCTTTGGAGTAATTGTTAATTGGGGCGGTTGATAGCTACTATTCACATGGAAAAGCAAGTATATGGTTAAAAATATCATCTGCGTAGGTGGCCGGGTACATACCCAGAAGCGAGCCATCTTGTTTTTCTTCCCTTGCCGTTCCGACCAGGGACAACACCGAAGAAGCGATAGGTATACTGGCAGAAGTTTATTGATCTTATGTTGAAGATTTGTATATCTTCTGTATTATCAGTATAGAGCAACATATATCCGCATGATATATGCGCATACCCCTTGCCCTAAGGAACTTATACTGACTTACTCTAATGGTATGGTACCATACTAGGGAGGAGCGTTCTAATTTAATCAATAGTGCTAAACGCTTAAGCCACCAAAGACCAGTCATTGTTACGCCCCCATCAGTCGGAAATAAAGCCGAAAAACAATGCCTTACGTCGTATCAGCCTCATAACCTCTCTGCTAACCTTTTATCTGTCCTGTTCTTTGTTTCACTTCGGCTCTTTATTTATAGTTCGTTATTGATGGAAGTCGCATGCTGGGCAGGCCCGTCATTCGCTGGATTTTCGTTGCTACCTATGAAAAACCAGGATCCTACTGGGCAACTGAAATAGACGCGTATCTCCCTCAGCTGCACGGACTTCGAATCAAACTCCACTCACACCCGGGAATGGCCGAAGGTCCTTAAGGATATCATCCATGGATGGGGCAAGGGAGCTCCTTACCAGGTAGGGACTCTAGTCTCTGAGTACATACAGGAATTGCTCAGACTACTTGACACTCTTAGTGTTTCGTCTATTGGAGAAGGAAGTGCGGAGAATGTGTAAATTTTTGGCCGTTTTCCCGGCATAGCTTTCTCTGTCTGATGCAGACAATTACCACGGCACTTACATTCCTAAGAGAAGGGGGAGGGCGAGAAAGAAGAAACTTACGCTCAGTGAAAGTACTGTACAGCATGTATGAACTCGACTTCACCATCCTATGTTTCGCCATGTTGTATGGACAGATTCTCACACCGGACTGCCGCAAGTGCCCACAATTTATGCACAGTCCACCTAAAGGCCCCATAGTAAAGGCTGGATTCAGAGGAATTTTACAGCAAGACTTGATTTTATTCTAACCATTTCTACTAGTATTACAGTTTGATAATAATATGACTTGCATTTTATACCGTCGATCATGTCACCGGCCGCTTTAGGTAGAGACCCGTTATACTGATATTCCCTTTACAGCCTGGAGCTTTTTGCAATTTCGGCTATAATCTAATTATTTCAGTGAAACATAAGCAAAAGTGCAAAAAGCGGCTCGGGCTACAACTGCAGAGTTGCTTACCGGGCTATGCAAATTCTTGGTGGTTTCCAAAAACAGTCGGATTTCGTTTAGAGAAACAAATGGTCCAAGTCCTCCGTACATACTCCGGGTAGTCGAGTAGCAATAATTACGCACTGCCATTCAATAACAATGGACGATACGGGAGCCGAGCGCCTATTACCTAAGAGGCTAGTACTGCACTCCTTGTGGAGACGAACAGTGCACAAAGCGCAACCTCGGGAGTACGGAGTACTACACAGTAAGGACAGACTGATATCCACTGGTGGGCCTTGTAAATTGCACTAGTCCCAACTACTAGTAGTGCTTAGGGGCGGGTGTCCAACGAAGAGTATGGGGGCAAAATCTCCGCCACTGCGAGCGCCTTGGGGTTCGCTTAACATGGTAAGGCAACCCCTACGCAACCGCTACGTGTTTGTCTGCGAAGGGCAACGGGAAATGTTCGGGATCCGGTTATGTAATGCACGGTACTGTAGGGTGTCAAGGCAACATGAAAATTCTAACCTAGTCAAAAAGCTGCCAAGCGCGATGGCTAATAAGACAGAGGAATGGATAGAAGGAGAAGGAAAAAACCCAGAAGTTTATCCGAAAGCCAATGGAGATAGGGATCCTACTTCGATATTCTCCTCCAATTCTGGGAAGCCACTAGCAATCACTCCATAATGTGGATACTACGTTCTAGTTCCTGCAAGACAATACCACGCCGAGTAGGACGACCTCCGGATATCCGCTGATGGTCAGATAATACTCTCTGGAGTAATTAGGGAGGCCGATAGTACACCGTATTCAAGCACAGTGGTGGATTTGGGTGGGGGGCCGAATTGGAATGATGGTAATAGGTGGGATTCCAAGTTCAGCGGACACTGCAATCTTACGGGCATGGAAATGAAAGTTCGGCCGAGCTATCGACGATTATTTAGTCCCATCGACTACTGCATCTCACCTGCAGCTAATCAAGTTAATCATTAACCACCAACCTAAGTTTCCACTGTTCCATTTTCTTTCTTCCACACTTGTTGTTGTGAAGTACTTTTCTTGCGTGTTCTCCGTTACACGGTGTCGGGCTCTTGTCAGCAGCTGCTCGCGACTCTACTAGGAAACCTGACACCGGGGTCTTCCCGAGTCCACCGTATGCTAACTACGATAGTGTTGCTATCCGGTAAGAGGGGGAATCGTCGTAATTTGCGTTGTCACATCTCACTGGATGCCCGTGTTGCTGGCCACTAAACACTCCAATCGAGGACTGTTAGGGATTGTAGATTGGGGTCTCGACTTCGGACCGACTCAAGTGGGGACACATGAACAACAACACAACAATAGTATTGTATTTTTAATAACCCATCGTTACATTTGGCCATTGATGCGCGTGCTTAGAACAAATGCAGCAATGCCTTCCCCTTCCCATAGGAAACTCATACCTGCATACAAGGCATATGCTATCGTAAGTGGTAACGGCATGCAACATTTGATCACAATTGAAATCATTTTGTTGCTTTACCTTTTTCATTAACCGTTCCAAGAAACATACATGGCAGACTACCGTTATTTGACGAAGCCAAGCAAGGTGCAATGTTATTGAATGCTGCCTGTCGGCTGCTAGATGTATCTGGGAAGAAGGGTTCCTATCGACAATCCTCTGGGATATCAAGACATACCTATGTAGTCAATGGTCGGTCAAGTAGGCCCTGCACAGAGAGCTTTCTGCATCATATGAAGATGTAACTTCCATTAGCATGCAATTTGTTACTGGGGCCTTCTGCTAGAGTCTTCGCCTGGTCATAGATACAACTTGAGAGATGTAAAAGGCATCCAAAACCGTACACATTTATCCCTTTTCCCCCGTAGAACGAACCGGCTAAGACCCAATAAAATACCTGGATACTATATAGGGGTGGTATGCCTATCGGCTGTCTCACACTCCTGGGACATAATCTTACGAGCGGCTTATGATTGTTGCATACGCCGTAAGTACACCGCACATGAGGGCTAACGCTATGACATCAAAGGGTCATGCTAGGCAAACGTAACGGGAGGTGGGCGACATTAGATCCTGTGGTAGCGACCAGATATTGGTAGCATAAGCATATGGGATAATGGCGGAAATGCAACTTGTACTTCCCCCCGACACACTAATGTAGTATGTATATCAACAAGGAATATCCTGGTAAGTCTTGCAGGAGCTACTAATTCTAGAAGGTCTCGCTGCTCACCCCGAGCATGTTAAACATGGTGGAAGCTGTGGTGTTTCCTTGTTTGTCTCTTCTTTTCTTTCCCTTCTGTGATCTTCTATCCTCTTATTTAGCAAGGCGCAATGATCAAGGCGGAATTTTCCAGGCACAAAAGAGGTTTTGTGTACATATGCTAGTGCTGTACATAAATTGTTATTGTATCCTCCCCCTTTGTGCCCTTCGACACCGCACCACTGACTAAGAATATGTTTCCATTATGAAGACATTGAATTAACTTAGTACGTCAACCAAATAGGACTGCCGGTTATATTAAGCTAAATTCGTTAATTTATCACTATATTTCTCTTGCAGGACGATGTAGGCGATAACAGCTTTAGCAGAACTATATCTTCCATAACCAACCTGCCTGGTTAAAGCATACCTCGAAGTCTACACCTCCAAACAACCCAATCGCACCGTAAAGATCGAAGTCTCCCTCTAATCCCTCGATGCTTCCAGCGTCTTCATCAACTTCTTCGTGAAGGTCCCAGCCTCCTACCAGGCAACCATTTCGAGTAAAGAAGATGTCAACTCTACACTTCTTAATTTTGCTTTCCAAATTTGTGCTTGAGTTGCCAGGGCGACGAAACGTCATTCCCAAGCCCACAGTCTCACCCACAGCGAATGCACTTGTGAACTCTCTACCGCCCCATGAATCATTGACAAAACGACATCCATCGTCAGAGAATACGCCAATGCTTCCTCTCTCCCAGCCGGGAGACCGCCAATACGGATACGGATGCGCTATAAACCCAATAGAGAACCCACTGGAATCAGTAGATACTGCTCCCGGCCCCGGCCCTTCGCAGAGCCCGAGCAGTTTGACTTCGAAGTATATAGTTTTATCCTTCTTGGTGACGAAAGGTGACTCCAAAGTGGGAAAATAGAGTGGAAGATTTGTTGATATCAAAGTATCACCATTTCTAGCCCTGGTAGATCCCTTCCAGCAGCCCTGAGAAACAAAGGCAAAGGTACCATGAAATTCTTTTGGCAGCACAGGACGGAGATCATGCTCTTGTACAGACGTATACACAGTGGCTGATGGCTTAATAGGCAGATTTAGAGGAAACTTGTCACAAAATTCATGTGCACGTTCTGCATCATCCCCAGAGGCATTCCCGTTTCTCGACGATAAGAAGCCTAATGCTGGCGGTGGTGGTAAAGTAGCGGTATCAGGTACAGCCTCCTGCCAGTTATGGTACGGAGGAGATTTTGAGCCGTATTGGGCGGCAGCTTCTTCGCCATAAGCTGGTGGCGCTTTCGACTCATTCTTAATTTCATTAGCCATTCGGTGTTCATACGATAGGCTTGTACAAGAAACAATAAGAGGTTGAAGTGAGTATAACAGCGCAATCAGTTTTTTTGCTCAGAGTGCAGCTCGTTGAATTTGTTCCTGAAGTGCGGATGTGACACCGAGTTACAGTAGGTTGTAGCACAACAATCGCGGGGTTTGAAGAGTGGCACAACTGAAATCTTTAGTGGCAACCTTTGAACCTACAATGTCAGGGAGACGCCAAGGAATGATGTTTTATGTGACGTCGCTAGTTATTACGCATTTCCTGATCAGAACCATGGTATATACCATATAAGCATTTGTCAAGTCCATAAACTGACATCCTTTGTCAAATATAAACTCTTGGAATTATGCGTCCTGTCTTGCCCATGTAAATGGGAGAAAAAAATTGGATGTAGATTGGAATGGCAGCAGGGTTTTAATCTACTAGGGTATCTTAGAATATAAGAGTCGGATTGTTAAACAAGGTGAGAGAAGTGTTCATTGATCACATTACCATAGACTATCATTGTGATAAGAAACCCCAAAACCCTACACTGGCTTGGTTTAAATTGCCAGCAAAAGCTTATATAGGATGGGAGCCTCTACTCTGAAGTGGTTACCTATGGCACGGATAAAAATCCCAGTTGCACCTGAGGGTGCCTAGTATGTGAGTCAATTCAGATGTCAATCAAATGGTACACAACAGGCAAATTAGTAGGCATACCAATTACTAGTAGTTAGTTAACTAGTTACAAACTCCTAGTTAGTAATCGGCTTGTTTCACCGGCCCCTTTCAGGAAAAACAAAACAAAACAAAAGAAGAAGACGAAGAATAATAATAATAATAATATAATAAGAAAATTTTTAAATAAGAAAGGAAAAATAAAAAATTAAGCGAGGGAGTGGTCTGACAGCTTTGGGCCCAATGGCCAATGCGACAGTCGTAGCAGCCACAATACTTGACCCCACCCTCACATATCTGGATGTGACCTGTACTATGTCTCCTTCGAACCTTAGAGCAACGTGAATGAATCTCTAGGAAGTAGCTTTTGATTTTTACTACTCGCTATCGACTCATACCACCCATGTCACAAATTCCTGTGTTCACAATTGTCACAAACAGTTCCAGGGCAAAAGATAACCTGTCTGTACTGTCTTGCTAATAGCATAAATGATATTATCCAAAGATGGACCAGAGCACAAGACCACGTAGGCCATCGCTTACACAACATCTGCAGCGCATACTGCACATTGATGGCATTGGAAAAGTAAGTCAGGTTAATACTCTGTTCTCTTACATTCTACTGTACTACCCCACACCCCAAAGGACGCTCCTGTTGATTCTTGGGAACAGAGGCATAGCAGTAGCTCACAGTCACCTGGTGCGGGTCTCACAGCTTCGCCCCAGCAACAACAATTCACACAACAAAGGGTACAAATACCACAGAGTTACATTCATGTCAATGAAAATTCATCTCATACTCACACCCGGAATCATACCTCCTATTCTTATACATCATTGGACTCGAGACTTACCCCTATGAATGGAGAAAATCCTGGAGGAATTCCAAAATCGTCAACTCGTGAGACTTCTTTCCGAGGCCCACAAGCATCTTGTACTCCTGAGGAAACACCGGCAAATTTGGAGAATTGCGTTTCACCCACATGGTCCAGAAATTCTGCCGTTCGAAATGAGAGGCGGGCTACACTGCGACTAGAGGCAGAGAGGGTAGAGCTCGAGAAAAAACTCATGAAGCTTGAGCAAGCTGAATCAACTAAGGATCTCGGGTCAATGAGACGGGAACCACGCCGTCTCACCAAGAAGCAGCCATTCGGCAGCTCAAGTAGAGCGTCAAGTGTAAGTGCGGATGAATCTAGGGCTTCTAAGCGGATTTCTTCTATTTTTTCAAGCTCGAGACGCTCATCGAGATCGCGCTCAAGCTCTTTAAATGAGGATGATAGAGGCACCCCAAGACCTCAGTCGTTTGGATCCGAATGTGCCACACGTACACTATCCACGACCTTGCCTGAACGCCTCAGCACAGCAATCTCCAAGGAGCTAGCTGTCCAAAGCAACCCGCTACTTGCAAATCATACATCGCCCCTACGATCACAGAAGCTATCGCACTCAGAAGTACCCATGGCAGCTGGTCAAGGAACTGAGAGCAATAAACATTTCGATAGACGTGATGCGGGTACCTCTCATGTGCAGGGGCTCAAAAGGCTTAGGCAAGACCCAATGCAACAAGTTGCCCCAATAACGATGTCCATATCAGATGTACAACAAGTTTCGGATTCTTCAGAATTAGATCGTTCATCATTTGCAGCAGCATTGAACTTCAGGAAAAGAGTCTCTGGCAAAGCACAATCACATGGGCGTCTCTCACAGTCTACACCCTCTCAAAGCACCACAGCACAAAAAGAGAACCGTCGTGAACTAGGTGCCACTGGTCCCTCAAGGAAAACATTGGCATCTGTCACCACCCTGAATACTAACCATCGCGGTATTCGAAAGCCTCTCATTGCCTTGCAGTTAGGCTCGTCGGGGAGCGTACCGGTTAGAACATCACGAGGCAAACCTCAGGGATATCACAAGCGTTTCACATCGTCTCCACTTGCAGGCTTTCCAACAACGAGTAACACCACTTTTCAGTCTCTCGACGCCGTTCCAACTGAACAAGCATCCGCAAGCCCTGATGGCATGTGTCACACGGAGCCTCCTGCATTCTCCAAAGTAACTGCCTCTTGTAATACAAACCCACCACGCCCAATGACTTCATTGCGACTGTCGAATGGAGATGGCAGTGAAGGCAGACACGTTCCAGTCAACCCTCTTGATCTCACGCACACAGCTAAGGAGAGTCTACGGGCCAGTCTACCGAATAGTTCAGGGTTATCAGATCATAGCCCTAAGCCATATTCGAGTCCAGCAATCCCCAATACTCAACCAAGAGGGCCTCTTGCTTTAAGCCAGGGTTTGCAGCAGGCACTTGAGTCTGTAAAACCACATGATTACGGTTCGCCAGGCAATGCGCTGGAAACACACCCACACAACCACCCAGCGAGATCTGGGAGTCAAGATGGGGGTCTTGCAGCATCACAAACTCGCCTGGAAGGGGGAAACGCCTCCATGCACACGTTTAATACCAACTTTAGTGGTCGAGGGGAGCCCTCGTCACCTATAGGTGGTTCAACAAGTGCCTTGGGTTACAAAGTAGGACGTTCAACCGTTTCATTGTCGGCTAGCTTGTCCCAGGATCCAGAATCGGAGGATTACAATACCGCAGATGAAGCTGCATCGACTGCTTCAAAGTCGCAAAGCGATGAATCTATCCCCGTCAAACAATTGAATATTGCTTCTGTTCCTGCCGGTCTTAGCACCTTTGCTAATAAAGGCTCATCCTCCAGGCTTCATCATCCCCCCCCAGCTGTGCACCCTAACGCACCAGCCCTCTGGACAGAACAATCTGGAGGAAATCCAAGACAACTTCAGCGAGGCCAACGGGTCGCGAAGCTTTTCGTTATTTGCTGCCATTGCGAGTTCTGGCACGACATGCCGTCCGAGGTGTATACAAAACTGGCTTTCCCTGCCAATCCTTCTATTCCTACAAGACACAACCCTGCGTCTTTGGGAGGAATATCGAACTTAAACAATCAAGCTTTTTCTAAGGCGCAAGTAGGTGCTTTGTCAGGCTCATCCATACATTTATCGATTCCAGAATCTACTAGTCCCGGGAATACCTCTATATCAAAGACCGCAGCGCAACTTTCTAACTCTGTTGTGCCATGCTGCTGGTGTGAACATTACATGACCAGAGTGTGTTGTCAAGGATGGACCACAGTTGTTGATTTGCGCGAGAGACATCATTAAACTAATGTGAATTAGCATATTGCTCTCACAAGACATGCGAGCTAGACTGCGAATATGTTTTTTGGATCATCTGCCTTGATTTGTCTAACATAGCTTATTATTTTAGTTGTTGTGTAAGATGTTACGAGGCTCGAGAACTAAATATTTTATTTAGCGATCAATTTCTTCACTTTTTTTCCTTCATTTGCTTTCACTGTTTCTTTTTCTTTTTCTTTTTTCCCCTTTTTCCCCTTTCTTCCCTTGTTTTGCCCTTTCCTCCTCCCCAATTTCCTGGGAGATTACTAACAGTTCACTAAAAAAAGGGGTAGTGAATTAGACTACTAGAAAATATTTACTCTTGTGTGTAGTAACTTGATTGATCCATGTTGAAGCATGGGAGAAGCCGGTGAGAATCACCACTGACGAGGTATTTTACTGGTAGGGCGCTTGTGTATATGTGGAATTGGTGTAACCCTTCTATATTTGCAGACATAGTTATTAATGCATGAAGTGAAGAATCGTCGGTGGATTACGGAGTAGGCCGTCGCAATTCGGCGGTGGAGACCTCCCTAGTAGCTATGTACTTAGAACTAGTAGGACGTGTGGCTAAATGCGGCGGCATCCCCTTTAATAGTTTAGTTAACAGGCATCGCAATTACAAAGAGCCAAGGTGTCTATAGTAACTCATCATCTCCCATTTCCCTCTCCAAAATAGCTCTTCCTATGGCTAATTTTAGTAGCCATGGTACGCAAAAGAGGCTTCTCAAATACTTCTTCAACCTCCTCTCTTCCAGAGGGAAATCAGGTATGTCCCCAACTTACCCGCACTGCATGTTCCTCCATTCTATCATCTGGCACGCGCCAGTCCCTCCGCATTGTCAGTAGCTTTTGTCTGATGCCCGCTAGGAACTAGAGAGTATGTATGACTACCTAGCAAAGGTCATTCTGCTCGGTCCAAGTGGTGCTGGAAAGTAGGTTCCCTGGGAAGTGGATTTCTTTCGTAGCTTTCCACTGACATCCGGAAATGCAGGTCTTGTGTGCTCCATCGATTTGTGAAGAAAGAATGTACGGCTGCGACTTCTGATTAAACCTGTCTCATACTTTCATCTCCCCCGAGCTGGATAGCCGGCTCGCTAATACACCATGCACCTATAGGGAGAGTGCTATCGTCGCAAACGATCGGCGTCGAATTCTCCTCAAGAATCGTCAAGTTAGGAATCGGCCCTCGACGTACAAGGATAAAGCTACAACTTTGGGATACTGCAGGCACCGAAAGGTTCCGTTCCGTCTCTAGATCTTATTACCGGGGAGCGGCGGGGGCTATTCTTATCTACGATGTATCATCTCATACCTCATTTGCGTCCCTTCCTACTTTCCTCATGGATGCGCGTGCTCTTGCATCTCCCAACCTAACTGTGTTACTGGCCGGGAATAAGATGGATCTCACTTCCGACATCTCGCTCCATGGTGACACCACCGAAGACGCCACTCGGCCTCCCCCAACACCGTCCAGCACTTCCAGCAAACAGTCTGCCTTTGCATTCGGTTCTGTCCGCTCCACAAGTCATCTAGCGACTGGGACGCGCATGACCGCTACATGTGTTCCCCATGGCCGTGAAGTATACTTTGAAGAATCCTCCCGGTGGGCTGCGAAGTCAAACATCCCAGTTGCCGTTGAAGTTTCAGCCCTCACTGGAGAAGGTGTGGAGGAACTATTCAACCGGCTGGCCAGAATTATCTTAACCAAAATTGAACTTGGTGAAATCGATCCTGACGATCCCCAGAGCGGTATACAATATGGCGACGGCGGTCTTTATGGCCATGGGACAAGCGATGGTTCCAGCATACGGAGCCGGATGACTCTGGACAACGCAGTCCAATTGCACAATCGGAATCCTCCAGGTGTAAGTAAGTGGAAAAGCGGCATGAGAGAATGGGAGGATGTCTTCCGGTTGGGCGGATCATATAATAAGAACGGTGAAGGGTGCTGCTGATCTTTCGATCTTGCTCCTTTATTGTTGTCTTCCAGCTGCAGCTATTACCCTTGCTTTTCACCCCTTACATCTTATTCTCTCTCTTTTGCGAGTTTGGTGTAGTTGTTTCAGCTTACCCATACCCTATAACAGGTAAGGTACGCTCGTATCTCTGTTTGATTGCACATTTACTTGCTGTAAATGCCGTCTTATTCTTTTTTATCTTTTCTTCTTCTTTCCACCTTTCTTTCCCTGCCCAGGTATGTCCGCCGGGCGCTATATCCCGCTCTATTCACATGGCACTCCGTGTAATAGGAACATTCCTTTCGATAATTGTATAGCACGATACCCCTGATGATTTTTTCTTGTTGGTATTAATTTATAATATTCCACACTAGTTTATCTGCAGAATTGCCAGACTTTCCAATGAGAATGCCAGCGTCTTAGCCATCTACTAATTTTTCCCTTGGATACTATACGCAATAGAACGATAGAAATTTATATAAGCGACCGCAGAAACCAACTCTGTATGATTCTTTTGGACTTACATCAAGCAACATCCCTTCATCCCAAAGCCAAACTCATGAAGAGAATAATAACAAATCAAATTTAGTGTATCACAACTAATCACTTCCAGACGAGGCTTATACTTCAACTCCAGCAATGAGTGTCTTGATACCCTTTCCAGCTTTGACTTCTTGAAACGCTTGTTCCGCGTCTTCGAAACTGACAATTCCGGTGATTAGTTCCTTTACGCTAACCCTGCCTGAGGCTACTAGGTTAACCGCAAGCTTATAATCACCACTACCGTAACGAAAACTGCCCCTGACATTTAACTCTTTGGTGCAAGCTGCCATGATGGGAAAGGTGATTTCATTCCTTCCCATACCACCTTGCACGTAAGTGCCACCGGGACGAAGGACATGAATGCCTGTATGAACTGAAGGCTCAGCACCTGATGCATCAATAACGATATCCGCTCCACGGCCGAGATCATTTTCATTGACAATTCGCTTTGCATTTTCCGGCGCAGGGACCTTGCTGGGTTCGAAGATTGCTGTTGCGGCATATTTCTTCGCAAATTCCAGCCTTCCTCTTTGGATGTCCACAGCGATGACCTTCGGGGAGCCAAAAGCCCTAGCCACGGCACAACACAATAGACCCACTGGCCCGGCCCCGAAAACTACCACAGATTGTCCTGGCGCAACATTTGCTTGCTTTACAATATGCACAGCGACACTGAGAGGCTCCATCACTGCAGCTTCCTGAAGGTTGATGTTTTCAGGAAGCTTGTAGCAGAAGTCCTCAGGCAAAACATAGTACTTGGCTAGCGTACCGTCGTAAGGTGGCGTTGCGGCGAAGGCCATTTTTTCGCACAGGTTATATTTCCCTGCCTTGCAGGGCTCACACCGGCGACACGGTATACCGGGCTCCATAGCAACGCGATCCCCCACCTTTAATGTTGTGACAGCCGAACCAACCTTGCTAATCACACCGGAGGATTCGTGTCCTAGTACCATAGGGTCTTTGACGACAAACTGGCCAATTGAGCCATGCTCCCAATAGTGAACCTGGCATTTTCAATTCCAAGAAGTCAGCAATTCAACTTTATGGATTCCCCATTGGGCAAAGTCATAACATACGTCGCTACCGCAAATACCGGTAAACCTGACATTCACGAGAACATCGTGAGCATCTCTCAACTCTGGGATTGGTCGGTCTTCAAATTTGACCTTATGAATTCCTTCGAGGACAAAGGACAAGTTCTGGAAAGAAGGGCAGTATTCAGCTTTCCTGTCAATATGAATCGATACTGAAAGGTTATGGCTTTACTACGCACCTGAGCGGTCCTAGGTTGCGCGCCCATGTTTAGCACTTGCTATTTGGCTAAGTGATAGGGAATGATCTGTTATAGATATTCGGTTTTGGAAGAGAGGGGAAATGAGAGAAGAAAGGTGTTTAAAAGATGAAACGGAAAGGGGGGCAGGCCTAATGCTATCTTAAGCATAGAGAGGTAGTGACTGAGTGGACAGATGGGCTTGCAGAGTGGGCTGGGATGGTCATGTGGGTGATGGTTTATTTCAATAAGGACAGCCAACAAACTTGTCTGGATCAAAGTACTCTTTTCTATCTTCTCTTAGGATAATAGGTAGTAGTTCTCATGGTTGTCCCCCACTCATCAGCTGCACTAGTGGGGCGATCCTTATGTCATTGGTCAACATTCCCCAGCTTCTGCCTCTTGAAGCTGATGGAATTTAACCGCTAGTTCATTTCATTTTAACCGGTTTCGGTGGTCCCGCCAAGCGGGAAATTAAAGCAGACAGCTTAACCATTCATTGAGGAACCGCTGCACAAAACTGCCACCCGTACGGAGTACTCCGTAGGTATGTATACAGCACACCTACGTACCGTAGAGTCTAGACTGATACCGACAAGTGTACCTGTACATACCTAGATGTTACTTTACCATATGTAGGCAGCCTTCATCTCTTTCTCCGGCTCTGCTCTGCATTGCCAACACGGTTACCGTCCATGTAGCCATGGAATTACGAGGCTGTTATAGTAGAGAAAGACCCGTTTCGTCACGGAATTGATAGATGTATTGCATACAGAATGTCCCCATCTACTGGGTATCTACTCGATACCCTACCCAATGACTTGCTGTCCACACTAATCATAAAAGACTGCGTAGCGGAAATGACAATAATGCCAAGACCACCTTGCCATAACAAGTAACCAAAACTAAACACTGCCGGAAGCTATCAAATATCTCGTTCAAGCTGTCCATGCATTTGTCGGGCTATGATTTGGCAGAAACCTGAAATTGCTTCGTTGGAATTTAGCCTGGGATAGACTGTTGTTGCAGTGCTAAACTATCTAATTGACATGATTCGATCCAACGCCCTTCCCTTGAGGGGAACGTTCCGCGCTTTGCAGCCGAGAGTTAACTACCGCCTAAATGCTGCGCAACAGCAGAGGCATTACCGTGCCTCTGCCCGAAATTATGAGGACGGACGACCACAGTCCTTCAAAAACCAGCTATATGAGAGTACGCAGCAACGGCTGAAGCGTGAGCGCGCCGAGCAAGAACGTTACGCACAATATCAGACTCAGTCGCAGGGAGGTCGCTATATAGCTCTAACATTCGGTATGTCCCTGCAGAAACCCTGTTCGAAATCTATAACAAACCCCTATCCAACATTCCGCTAATCCCTCTATGTTAGCTTTGGTGTTTTTCTCTACTGGAGCCTATTTCCTAGGGACTTTAAAGCCGCCGAGTCTCCCGACGTCATCAACAACGAACATTCTCGAACTAGAGCCCCCGCGCCACAATATTTCTCAATCGAACCTCCAGGCCGCATGGGCGGACTTTGTTGATATATTAGGGAAAGATAACGTTTCTACAGATAATGGGGATTTAGAAATACATTCAGGGTCAGACTGGTCTTCCTATTCTCGGAAGGAAACCGAAAAGCCTTTCCTTATCCTCTACCCATCAACCACGGAAGAGGTTTCTCAGATAATGAGGGTTTGCCATCGGCGAGTTATCCCAGTGACGCCGTACTCAGGTGGCACTAGTCTAGAGGGACATTTCGCATCCACCCGCGGTGGCGTGTGTATCGATTTCCGCCGCATGGACCGCGTTTTGGCTGTTCACAAAGAAGACCTTGACGTAGTGGTGCAGCCTGCTCTTGGTTGGGAAGATTTAAATGAGCAGATTTCGCGAGATGGTCTATTTTTTCCACCTGATCCTGGCCCGGGTGCCATGATAGGTGGTATGGTAGGCACTGGATGCTCAGGGACGAATGCCTATAGGTACGGTACTATGCGGGAATGGGTCCTCTCCCTGACTGTAGTTCTTGCGGATGGCACTATAATCAAGACAAGGCAGCGTCCGCGGAAGTCCAGTGCTGGTTATGATCTTACCAGGCTCTTTATTGGGAGCGAAGGGACCCTTGGGCTTGTTACAGAAGCCACGCTGAAATTAACAGTCAAACCCAAGAGCCAGAGTGTCGCTGTTGCATGCTTTCCGACAGTTCAAGATGCTGCAAAATGCGCGGCACGTGTGGTGGAGGATGGTATCCCGGTTGCCGGTGTGGAAATTCTAGATGATGTGCAAATGAAATGTATAAATGACAGCGAAACAACTAGTCGGCGGTGGAAAGAATCACCCACCTTGTTCTTCAAGTTTGCAGGAACACCCGTCGGTGTCAATGAGCAGGTGAGTACAGTACGAAAGATCGTTTCTTCCAATGCAGGCCAATCCTTTGAGTTTGCCCGCAACGATGATGAGATGCAAGAGCTATGGAGTGCCCGAAAACAAGCTCTCTGGAGCGTAATGTCTATGAGGCGAGGCCCAGAAGACCATGTTTGGACTACTGATGTGGCAGTGCCCATGAGTCAACTGCCCAACATCATCGAAGCAACGAAGCAAGACATGACCCAAAGTCGGCTGTTGGCAGGAATATGTGGTCACGTTGGGGACGGTAATTTTCACGGTAAGAAGACCCTGTCCTCTCTCACAGCTCCTGTACTCACTTGTCTCTCATAGCTATTATTCTGTTCAATGACAATGAGAGGAAAACCGTGGAAGCTGTAGTTCACCGAATGGTGAAGCGAGCAGTAGAGCTGGAAGGCACTGTCACAGGTGAACATGGCGTTGGCCTTATTAAACGTGATTATCTCGAACATGAACTGGGCGAGTCCACAGTGGATGCGATGCGGCGGGTAGGTTTGCAGAAATTTAAACATAACCCCCCCGAACATAGCCTCATTTTGCGATAAGTTCGGAATGCTAACGCTATAACAATCTTTGCAGTTGAAACTAGCGTTTGACCCTCTTTGTTTGCTTAATTGCGACAAAATTGTTCGAGTGGAGCAGGGGATGCCAGAAGAGGTTAAGTCATGGTGATTGCTTGTGCGTTGTTTAACATTACAAGATAGAGAAGCCGTGGATGGGCAGAGGCGGAGCCGACTGTGTAACAGCTCTGGTTTGTCGTCATCCTACTTGCAAAGAGGAAGAGAGCGAATAAGGCCCCAGCAGGTCGTCCTCCAACGGTGGAATCTGATCAAAACAATGGTAGTTTGCAGATGATTCTGGACTGCTGTCATATTCAATATCCATAACTCTGTATCCTAACGCCGTCAATGTACGTGCTGTCATTCCATGTAGTCATCATACTCCACTTCCGACATATACTCAGCGCCTCTAGCCCCACCATGGCCTTCTTCAGTGCCATTGTACCAGGGCACAGAATCCCTTGGAGTTAATTATCAATACCAGAATATGTAAAATGCATGGGAACATGCACCTGACCTAGGATCTACTCACTGGTAAGACTTGTCATCTTCATAGCTTTGCCTCTCCGCCTCCGCATACTGGAAAGGCCGGGATTCTTCAAGTGATGCTTCGTGGTCATATGATTGCTGGTGTCCATGTTGATCTTGCTCCTCTCGACAATCAAGCTTTCCGTGACTTTTGTATCTGTCCACCATGACTGCATCGTCTGGCGAGAGTGGCTCGGGGTCTTTCAACAGTATAGACCCGACTCTACTTACAAGGCTGCTGGCTAGGCCCCTGAGTACGCCATCACCAGCAGCCTCGACCGCAGCTTCCTCCAGGCTACTAGAATCAGATCCGTTTGGATCAATGGAGTTGCCATGGCCGCCTTTGCGTAACGCAAGTGGCTTACCGCAGCCGTGACCGGTGTCGTGCACACCTTCCTTATGGTTTTTACCTTCAAATACGCCTTGGCGAGTGAGCTGTTCGCGCAGATACCCCTGCTCTTCCTCGGTCTTGCCATGCCACCATTCCTCGACTGTGTGGAACATGATCTGGCGTACATCGGCTGCACCATCTTCTCCATATTCACGAAGGGCAGGGTGGTGGAACACACCCACGATTATTCTGTCCAGGGTCCTTGTGATATCAATGTCTTCACTATCCCAGCACTCCATCAGCTGTGGCACAGTCCATTTGATAATTTGGGAAGCTACCCGGCCTGCTGGTTCGTTCAGAACATTTGAAAAATGATCCTTAGAGAGCATAGAATGGGTTGGGTTCGAGGATTCATCGTCTTCAAAAACAATGTGCTGTTGCTTTCTGCTACTTTGAATAACCTCGGAGGAGCCGGTTTGAAGCTCTACCTTTACATGCTTGATAATAGGGAGCACATAGGGTGCCAGAACAGAGAAAACGAAGACCGTTATATGATCTTGAATTTGCTCAACCAATTCTGGCAGAACAGGTAATTTCTCGATGGCAGTGTTGATCGACTTAATAATCTCATCATGCCACTCCAATACGGGGTAGATTTGCCGATGCACCCCTTCCAGGTAGCAGGTCCATGCTTCTGGCTCACGCGGCGATACATCTTGGCGATGTTGCTTGGCGTTCTCTGACTGTGTCCTGAATTCTTCCATTTTATTTGCCTGGGCTTCGCTGTCGTCTAGTAATCCGGCAGGTATCATGCTGAGAAGACCCTGTACGAAGCTTTCAGAAGGAGAACCACTCTGTGAATCAATAATGACACCTTCCAAGGATTGGACTTCAGATTGCGTGACCTTATCAGAAAGCTCACCCAGTACGGAGTGAAAAAAGTCCACCCCGCCGAAAGTGCCGGTAACTACAGGGTAGACGTCATTCTGCGCACCATGGAGCTCAAGTTTTGTATTACGGCCGACATGGGGGAAAATGTCTGATTCACCCATCTCAATAAGACTCAGCTCTGTATAATTGGAATGTGCTGCATAGTCCTCCAGGCAATGCAAGCCAGTCCCGAGAAGACGAAAAGCTTCATGCAAGTCTTCATCGTTCTGCGATCTTGCATATTGGCGGCCTAGCTGAATCGAACGGCGGAAGACACGCCGTACAAGGCCTGCAGATGTAGCAATGCCAATATCCTCTGTAGCTATGTAGTTTTTTAAGCCTGTCCGTGGTAACCAACAAAAGACTCAGTATGTCACGTTTTGTATAGTATAATGATATGGAAAGTGGTCCAACATACCTGTCATAGGATCAACTGATAGCTCACGCTCCTCGTCAACTGGACCCCTGAGTCGATGATCATAATCCCGAGCATCCTCCCCTTCAGCATAACCAAGAGGATTGTCTATATGCTCTGTAGGCTCATAGCATCCTAGACGTTCCGTAGTCACCTCAAACTCCTTAGTCCCATAGCTAGAGCACAAAGTCAGTTCCTGGCACTGGCGCAGTAGGATAATTCAGCAGCTTACCCAAAACTCAAAAAGCCGAGCACCCAGATCAGGATACGGATGGCTTCGGCGCTTACATATTTCAGAGTACCGACATCAACAGCCTGGCTGTAGTCGCGGAGCCAGTTCCCGAAATAGACACGCTGCACATCGAGTTTGTTGAATTTACGGCCGCCGGCCACGCGAGCCAGAAACAAGGTCAACAACACATCTTCGATGTCCCCATGACGCCAATTCTGGCCCTCAATGCGGGATATTGATGCAATATTACCCGCCCCAAAAGCGTGGGCTTGCCCTGAGAATGCCAGAAGCGACAGAAGAAGACATAGGTTTTGGACAGTATCAGACATGATACTTCCAGTCTAACATTGAACGAAGATACTGGCGGTCTAGGGAGAAGAGAAGGCGAATCGCAGGGATCCAGCTAAGTTGTGAAAATTAAGAGGTAGGGTAATGTAGAAAAAGGACCCAGCTCCCTTGGGACGCCTTGTATTGTGAAAGAGCAAGCTAGCCCACAGAAATGCAGGTGCCCCGCCATACAGTCTCCAATTGTCATTGCCAACTTGCCAAGGGTAATTAAATAATCGCACTGTATCAATGATAGTATGGGTGGGGATAATTCGCCTTATACTGATGAGACGGACCATCTTGGCAGCAGATATGACTGGCCACCGATTATCTTTAGGTCTCTTCTCCATCCATGGCATATTCTGGCAGTTCTGGCTGTGCTGTCCTTGAAGATGAGGGATTCGAATGAGTTGAGGGGTAAAGAGAGAAATTCTAACCCATTTATTGTTTCGAATGGCACCGATTCGAACCCATCAAAGTATGACGTGTAGTTAACAAATCATAAACCTCAATGATATTGTAGCCGCCACAAAGGCTTTGCTGATATATGAACAAGTGCTAGGCAGTAATCTCAAGAAACGATAAGATATATACATGCATAGATATATAGCATTTCTAACAGATAACTGAGAGAGAGAAAATCACTACTAACAATACCTGACTGGAGAGAGTTAGAAAAGGCAGGAGGAAGGAAAAGAGCAGTAAGTTGCAGTGATAATGCTGAAAAGTAATAATACTGATATGAATCATAAATCTAGGTTTGACCAACACCAGTAGAGGACGTTTATACTCAATTAGTCCAAGTTAAAAAGTCAACCACAAATAGATTCTACAAGAGCAATCGGCTGCGCTATACGCAGCCTCCCGTACTTGGTCAGGGGCTAATCAACTAAGGCTAACTGATTAAACAAGCCTTCAATAGAAACCTAGACCAGTGGTAGAATGTTATCGCAGTACACGATGTTACTGGGGTTTATGAGAGCTTAATAAATGCCAGTTAATAAATAAATTAGAATTGATAGTAAGAAACAGGAAAGACATGTAAATGATAAACTATCAACCGATAAGAAAAAGAAAAAGCGTGAGGTATAAAAAGATGCAAGGTAGTACATAGCATGTATCATCCATCAACTAATGTGCCTTATGCTCCTGGTACTTATCCTATATTATGCAGAAGAATCAGTAGTAGACTAGAGCTGGGCCTCCCTACTACTAGGTATTTTAGGTGAAAGTCAACTACAGATATGTGCAGAGATCAAATCAGGAGCAATATATTCTCTAGTCTCTGATAACACACTATTGACAATAATTACAGTGTATATTTAAGAAGGAGAAATAATAATGGCTCATTTAAATGTGGATGGTATTCCAGCTTATTAAATAAATGAGCCAGAGTAACTACTAGGTATACTCTTGTCCGCCACTTTCAAAACGGCTCTCCGCATCCGTCGCACCAGCCCTTTCCCCTCCCAACCCGTTACCCAACCACTTCCCATGGCGCTCTCCGCCCGCAACACACCCCAAATTTCATAAATTCATTCGAACTTCACTACCATCATTTTCCACGTTCTCCTATTGAACCTTGTACCAGTGTCTCGACTACTTATACTACTATCTTTGACCGCCCGGTGGCTTTCTCACTCTCAGTTGCCTTGGGATGGAGTAATCAAAAATGCCTACCTCTAGAAACCACAGTCATTGCTATTCGTATACATGACTGCTGTCTCAATCTCAACTAGACGTTTTCCATTGTGGTCTATCTTCTACCCCTAGGTACTGACTGGTTATTTTGTGATACTCGGCCAAGCTACATCTTTCAACAGACTTATTATTTCCATGCATGGTGTGATCTCCTGGAAGGTCATTAATATACAGACACAGCAGTGTGCGACCTTCCTCACCGGTTCCTTCTACTTCATTACTGCGCCGATGCTACGGCAACAATGCGCCCCGTAGCGCAACATTAATGGCCTCTTTCCCAGTAGTCTGAAGAGAATAGGAGAGAAACCGGGCAGCATCATACTTATCAGTCCGATGGCACACTTTGAAGAACACATCGTCCGAGATTCATTGCCACCAAAAACCCACCAAATTAACATCAGGAGCCTTGAGCCGTCCCATAAATACAAGTGCGATGTCCATTCTGCTCCTCTGAAAACTTCTGGCTCCGGATTCCCCTTCAAATCGTTTCGCAATGATACCCCAGTGCTGGCTCATTCGATTTCTCAAATCATTCATCCTCGCGGTTCTTTCTCATCATTCAAAGCTTTAACGCACTCAGCCCTACCGAAAATAAAGCAGCAATCTCGTATTCTCCCTGGCAAGGCTTCGCAGGATCCTCCGCTCCTTACGCAACCACGGGGAGTAGAATTTCATCGCTTGGCAGATGTGCCTACTTTGACCACATTTCACGACGACATCGATAATTTGTCACATAGAGAAGAGGGTCTTACCAAATCCAAGCCGTACATTATGCCTTTACTAAAACAGGCATCACGAAAAGATTCACCAACCACATCACTGGATCTGTCACACTCATCCTTAGAGCATGGCGGTTTGGGAATCATCGCAACTTGCGAGAAAGGGCGCCAGAGTGACTCAGTTGCTGATTTAGCCAATCGAAAGAACATCCCTGGTCTTCACCACCGATCAACTAGCGGGACTTCCCAATTTTCTTCTGCGAGTAGTTCCAGTATGAACAAGCCAGGTTCGCAGAATATTCGCCTGATGCGTCAAGCAACTCGCTCTTACACCCCACCATTAAGTCAATCACATCAGGCCTCGGTATTCGAGAGCGATGCCTCTGGCCATAGAGACTCGGTTGAGGGTGAGCTCTTAGGCTGGTCAGGCTCCGACACGTTCTATCCGTCTGTACGTGCATCCTCGGGGCAGATACCACGGTTATCAATACAGACGCATGATAACTCATTCACAAGGCTTCCTGGGATCTCCCAGACCAATGTAGCCGGTCGTTCGTCTTTCGGTTATTCAAGGGATAATGGCAGTACTTTAGATACAGCTTCACCAATCTCCAGGTCATCCCTGGACTTCGTGTTTCGATCCAGGACAAAAACTAGTACCGATCCCATCTCTCGAGCAGCCACGGTACAAGCTGCGCGTCAGGCATTTGAAGAGAAAGAAGCAGCGAAAAAACGAAGGTTTGAGGAGCAACAGATGAAAGCAGAGGAAAAGCAAATAAGACGCAGAGAGAAGCACCATTGGCGAGCTTCTCTGAGAGATGAGGAAACACCGAGTCCAGTTTGGGAAAAGGAGCCACAGGACGCACCAAATCTGCCCTGTGGCTCCGCCCCTATCTCATCCAGACCACAACCCGATTCAAACTCGGGGTCCTGGAAATCTCAACCCAAGAACACATGGATGCTTTTCCTAACCTGGCTACGAACCAGGATTTTCAAGTTACGAAGAAAAATAGGGAATTTAAATTGACGATGTACTGTTATTGTGTTATCTAGATCGCGCTACATATTAGGGAATAGATCATCCCGATACCTATCATTTATTGAATGTCAAATGAGAGTCCTACTATATTTTATACCAGAGGAGTAGCTCAGTTAGTGCCGAGCGCGGCAGGCTCTGTGAGGATGCAGAAAATAAATTGTTAGCATATGCTGAATCAAACCTCCATTGACATCTGTTATCGCTGGTGTTTTAAAACATCACGTGATCTACAATACACTGATGTATTGTACTATTTGCACCGCCGACCTTACCTCAGCAAAACAGACTACGGTATTCCAGACAGCTCAACATACATAGATAGTACCATCGGTTTGAAAACTACGGTGTACAAGAGCGACAAAAGACGCCTTTAGTCTCCCGTACCGCACTTCATCTGACCATTCCATCTTGTAGGTACAAGGCTGTCGGGTTCACACACCCAACGGGCGCACCTCCAAACTGGAGGGAGCGCCTCCACGAACATCTCTCATCATGGTATATGATTGGGATGGAAAGCGGGACATCTGCTATCAGATGTATATCAAAGACAAAAAAGCTTTGGAGGAAATTATGGAGTATATGAAGAATGTATATCAATTCGCACCCAGGTGAGAAAGCATCATTTCCACATAAGTACTAAGATCCATCACAGCATCCACGGTTAGATTAACCAGCTACGGAATTAGTAAACGTGCATTTCAAACGCAATTCAAGCGATGGGGCTTCCCTTCAAAACAAAATCCAGCACACAAGAACCTAGAACTCGTTGCACGCGTCAAGCAGCTTTGGGAGCGGAATACTAGCCAGCGAGACATGCTTCGAATACTGAATGAAGAAGGTTTCGAAATCAAAGAGAGAGAGCTCATGCGGGTACGTGCTAAAAATCGTTGGTTGCTCCGCGTTCCCAATGGAATGAAATCACAGTCAACTATGCAAGCATCCGCACAACTATCAGAAGATGAAGGCTTGCTTGCATTGCAGCAAGAAGTTTACAAGAATGAGAGCTCATTCAATGACACTGAGCCTCTCCTTACTGACACAGCAAGCCCACGTCCCCCGTCGCCTGGCTTGTCACCAGAAGTTCTAGCCAAACGCAAGGAACGACTAGAACGATTGAAAGCAGAAAGTGCAGAACGCTGGGCTACCAGAAAGCGCCGGCGCCGTACTCGAGGATGGGCAGGGCTGCCAGCCGATCCCCCGGGACCCCCGCGCTTTCCCTCTGAAACGACTATTGATGAGAGTAAAAAGCACTTGAACCTGGATAACGTCATGTATCGTCAAATCAGGGATCAGTTCCAGAAAATTTGCGAGGATGCTGGCTTCATCAAGAAAACAGTTGCTGGGCCCGAAAAATGGCAGGAAGCCAAAAACAAACTGATCCAAGAATCACAACACCTTCAACATATATTTTGGGAGGATCCTAATCAGCTTGATGCAAAGGCCCTTGCTCTTGATGTTGTCTGCACAGATGTCACGAAGAGGATGCGCACCTTGGAGAGGCGAATGACCATTGCGGAAGCTAAAAACGCTCTTGGGGTTAATCCAGAGGAAAGCCGCCAAATACGGAATGCATTTTACAATACACTGAAAGCGGATCATTTCACAAGCAAACTAGAGGCTGGTGATGAGCACTGGACGAAATTGAAGGAGCAGTGGATTCAAAATTCTGAGCTGCTTCAACATATTTTGGCTCCAGGGCCAACGGATACAGAACACACTACCAAATTAAAAGCTTTAGAGGTTCTTTGTCGTGATGTCATGAAGCGACTTCGTGATGATCAAACTAAGAGGGACCCAGCCCGTAAACACTCTAGTCCTCAGGAACATACTCACTGTCCTGATTTGGGAAGCTCTCATATTGGCAATGCCTTTAGTGGCAGTATAACTAACGGAATCAGTACACTTGCTTCACAGGCTCTTGCAAGTGCTCCAGTGGCTTCTAGCGATCTAGGTGACTTGCAGATAGACCCCTCACTCCTGCAGGCAGCTAATGATCCCTCGTTTGCCACAGTCGACCATCAGGACTCGGGTCATACCTTTGGATACGTGGACCCCTTATTAGAGCCTTCTACTATGCAAATTCTTGTGTATCTTCGCATTCACGCTCAAAGTTCATTGCATGGGGACTCCAAAACCTGGATTGAAAAACTGACAACGCGATCTGTTGCTGAACTACGCCAACTAGTCAACACCAGATATCCAAACACCTTTATTACAAAGATTGAGGGCACGGACAAGGATGAGAATGGGCATGAGATATCTTTCGTTATAGACGAGGACCACGAATTTGACGCTTACTTGACTCACATGCAAGGGAGAAAAGCTTCGTTTCTTTTTAGCTTGGAACAAGTCTAAACAGCCTTTGTGTCATATCTTGAGGACTTGTAGTATATGTTTTGAGTGTTTAACTTGGTCTTCAGGAAAACTAGGGTGGAATTTCTGCAGTTTTTTTAAGTCAATCACCAGTCAACGGCGGCAGCCGCTTCAATGGGGTGTATTATAAATAGGAATAAGGATGATGTATTACAAAATAATCTACCTATTGGCAGTATCAACAGTGCTAAGATAGGGAAGATGGAAACTTGGCAATTCATTGATTCCGTTGCAATCTAGTGTAGTACTCATGCGTTATTGTTGAAGGGTAGAAATAAACCCTAATGATATCTCGACTGCCCTGTTTACAGATACAAATAATCCCTTCGGAGACTGGAGAGCTCTACACGTATCCTGTCGGGTTACACGCTTGTGAAGCAGCATGTAGTCACTGCATGTTCAGGAGAAAAGAAAGAAAGGAGGAAAGAAAAGCGAAAGACAATTGAGATAAGTTATATTCTTGTCTAGTCCTCCAGCAATATTACAGGATAGATCTGCTACTTTTCTTGTTTCCAAGTATAACTAAAGGTATTATCTTTATTTCTAAGGGACACACTCAGCCTTAAAAACTGTGACCCCATATATGGAAGGGCCGATTCAATGTCCAAGGTCTACCATATCGTTATTGGCCCTGGCCAGTCATGAATGCGATATTTACGTACAAGTAGGCCATCTATCAGCAAAGTAGACTTATATTCATAACAACCCTTGGTTCTTAATCTTAGGAATTTAAGAAGATCACAGGTCCAAAGGACTTCCCACGTAATCATGGCCGTGGTCCCAGTTAGCCTTATATATAGCGCAGCTACAAGTGATATGGAGACTCCGTAGAACTTCTCTGCAAGATACCATAACTGTACAACATCGGGAGTTATGAGGCGCAAGTAGCACCTGGAAGGCCAGTAGAGAATCTCTCCCCTACCTTTGACAGGGTATAAAGTAGTTATGGTAGCAAGGCCTCTGGCGATGGAGATGCATGCAAGAGCTAGGTAGATCCTAATCAATATTGCAATGTATTTTCAATAAAAGGTGCTTTCTAACACCTTAATGACTAACCAGTGAGAGCTTGTACAACATCTTGGAATAAGACGGTAGCAGAAGGTAAAACAAATGGAGAATCATTAAAGATCCCAGCCAGTTCCTTGTTTTGTGGAGGTGATGCTTCCAAGCCATCCATAGGGGTTTGTGAAGGGTGCTGGTATTTAGTACCATACACACTGTTTCCAAGTAATCCTGCTAGTCCAGAATTGACCTTATCCGCCCAGTCTTGGGACGGGAGGGCTTGAGACGTCTTTTTGCTGTAACCAAGTCTTTGTACATTTGCTGCTACATCCAGCACAATGTAGTCACCTGATCGTGAATCAGGAAGCAAGGCATGGGCGCCTCTCCCTAGAGGTAGCTGGCCAAGCAACGATAATGACTGTACATCATACACCTGCACAAAGTGCTTGCGCCCTTTTTTGGGTGCAGTAGGACTCTGTGGATGCTGTGCAGTGACAGCGAAGGTCTGTGTATTGGGATCCACTGCCAAAAGCCGGTACGCCTTCTCACCATAGGAGTAATCGACGTCTAAGTTGCGAGGTGTCCTCACTATATCATCAACTGTATCCCAAACAGATACAGACTGTGTTGAAGCGATAACAAGGTGACACCCTAGGAACCTTGCCACACAGGGATCCCCTGGGTACAGTCCAGCTCTACTGTAACGGACAGTACAGCTTTGAACATCAACAAGCACGGCGATCCCGGGACTCCCAGGATGCACTGACTGTAAGCATACAGCAAGCACGGAACCATCCTGAGAAAATGCTATGGAAGCCATGCTCACACTGTCAAGATTTTCGCCGTTGACGTATCCTTTCAAATCGACAGTATTCCGGCATTTCCAAGTCTCGAGCTGCTCTTCACCATGCTCCATCTTCAATCCACTGCGCTGTCTACTGCTTGGGCACCACAAGCGTAAAACCGCGTTGCTTCCGATTGTTGCAAATTCATGGCTAGCTGGTCGAGATGCAAGATCTAAGACCGGAACCGGGCTCTTTCCTGAAGAATGGGGCCCATCAACACGCGTGACAAGTTCCCACATGCCAGCCGACTTGCTCCATCTCCAGAACTTCAGGAATATCTCCTGATAGTCTGCGGTAATGCTGCGCATACCAGTCCCATTGTAATCAAGAGCCTCAATATCATGGGGTTTGGGGCTCCATTTATCAACTGTAGACATCCACTTCCCATCATGAGAAACACCTAGGTGAGTGACGTTCGGTGCAGCAATCTGTGAACCTTCCGGGCTGATTTTCAAAGTTGTCGCGTTAGTGCGCGCGAGAGCTTGGCGAGATATATGGTTATTGGAATGGATATCGTAGGTCTGGAGGACACAGGAATTTGCCAGACGGTGACCTTCATGGGAGGCTTGACGTGAGGCCGGCACAGTTATCAAGAGCCGATCATAATGCTGTGGGTGTAGTATCGCTACAGCTGGTGAGGATTGTGGATATACCCCTACCCTAGGCTTGTTTATCTGTGAGTACGACTGCAGGCCGGTTATGGTAGCGAAAGGTTGCAGCTCTCTCGCCGATAAAACTATGATAGAATTATCAGCCAGCTTGATGGCGTATAAGTTGCCAGTTGAGGAGACTGCAATGTTGCAGATTGGAGAAGAAAGGTGTGGAAGAAACTGCTTCCGGCCTGTATCCAACTGCCATAACACCATAACTGATTCGTGACCTCCGGATATAATATAATTACCTGGATGGATATTTAGCCACTTTTCACGATCATACTGCAAGGAACGTACCATCAATTGACCAACGAACTACATTAACAAGATCCCTGTGCCAATGCAGCCGTCTAGGAGTCACAGTTTTCTCGCCTCTGTGGTGCTCTTCTCTACCAACAAAGTTTAGAATGTCGTGATATACCAAAATAGACCCATCTGAGCTGCCTAAGGCCAAGTCAATGCCAATCGGACCTTTCTTGTTGTTCGAACTTTGTCCTTCAACCCGAGACGATGTCGTAGAATGCCGAATATCAACACAACTGATGTTGACAGGCAAAGCCACCTCTCTCCAAGTATATTGCATTAGCTCAAGAGCATTTTGGCCGAGACCTTGAGTTCCGATGAGAACACGCTGACCGCTGTATGCAATGACAGCTTGGCCATTAGATATGCATTTTATGTGGTCAAGCCGAGAGCTTGTTTCGAGGATGACAGTTTCGTGGAGTTTCTTCTCACTTAAGTGAGCGACAACGATCTCCCTTTTCCCAGCTTTGTGATCTCGCAGAATCAATAATGCACAATCTACCTCACCTTCATTAACATTGAAGGACGGGCTAACGGAAATTATTTTACGGCCCATGGTCCAATGTGAGACTTGTTTGCCAGATAGCCAATCCCACTTGCTAACAGAACCAGCCGAGGTAATTATGTAAAGATGCTCCTGATTCGCTGAGGAAAGACTATATCCGATGATGCTCTGATTTGGCTTCAACTGCAGTGTGCGAAAGAGACGAGAGGTTGCGACAGAATAAACATGAACAGCTGCCTCGAGCCCGACAAAAAGATACCTATAGGTTGGCTTAGAAAAACGTGATGGTCATTTTGAAGGACAGAACATACTCCTCATCGCAGGTAAGAATTGGGTCTATGTTGGTATACTGTCCAGCGACTGGTGTAGATAAAGACCAAGGTTTAGGAGTTGCAATCTTGTCTTGGTCGATGTTATGCAGTGAAGAACTATTTGCGACATGTTCTATCTGATGGGGGTCATTCATTTCTTTCGAAACATTGGAAATCGTTGGCCCCAAGCTTTGCTTGATCTCATCCTTGTCTCGGGAAGTGCGACGTCGCTTGACTCGCTCTCCCTCTGTGCAAATCAATTTATTTTGCGCTGCATCGCTGGCTCGGGATCTCTTGGCGAGACGCATCAAAGAGTTAGAACCTGACATCGTTGATTAACAGAAAAGTCTGTGATGCTGGATAGACGGATGATAGCAAGTCTAGAGAAAGAGAGCCATGATCTCGTGTTAGTTATTCAATAGTATGTAGGGCTGAAAGTGCTTCTGGACAACGCGAGACTTTTTTTTTTTTAGGTATCCTGCATCATGGACCGGCCGCTAATTGACTAGCCTCTTTTGGATTAGATTAATTTCCTTAAGTAGTAATAAGTGGGTACTTACATATTGGAATCTTTTCATCCATTGAAGTCTCAGCACTGGTTGGGTGTTCCAATATCTTGAATACTTCCGTCTGTCCAAGTCAATCATTCCGTATTAATAGGGCACAACAGAGATTGCGCGCAATACCCACATTCAACCATATCGTACGGCAACTATTCTCTCGGCGTATTCTCTATCCCCAGCAGTCAGTCTAGTCGCTCCTTATAACGCGAAATATAACCAGAGATGATCATTCCTGTCCGGTGTTTTTCATGTGGCAAGGTAAGCACCATACCCTTTGTTCACTTCTTACCGTGGCTTATATAGAGGTCGATTAGGTTGTTGGGGATCTTTGGGAACGTTATCTACATTTACTCGATGAGGGTGTTGCAGATGGGTATGCGATAGACTTACCCTCAATATTTGTGGTATTTGCGCGGCTTCTAATCAGTGGTTTCAAGTGATGCTATGGATCAACTTGGTTGCAAGCGGTATTGCTGCCGTAGGATGATCATGACCCATGTTGATTTGATTGAGAAACTTCTTCGGTAAGTGCCGCTCTAACATTGAACCTAACTGTTCACTGAACTGTGTCACCTTGTAGGTATAACCCAACAGAAAGAGATCGTGCAAAATCTCAAATGTAATTTCATTGAACCTTCATTGGAACTGATCTTTCACGGCAAATCACTTTCCGAGGTGGTGATGACGGATGCTCAGCTTCGCAGTTTATTGGCTCGTGTGAAAAAACAGCCAACACTGGATGTCCGTTGTCTCGGGCTTTATGGGGTATTCAGGCGCATCAATTGCTGCTGTAATTCTCAGGTATATCAAGCTTGCAGGATGCTATTGATATTTCTTCAAAGTGGCCGTCCGTTTTCGGTATCGACAACTTTGGGGATATCGATTAACTCTCCTATTTGCCGGGCCACGTTGTTTTGAATGTAGTATCGCTCTTTTACCTTTGGGGGGGCATGGAGGTTTGGGCGAAGATCTGCGTCTACCTTACGAGTCTTGGCATGTCTCGAACGTTCATTTCCCTCTTTTATTGCTCCTCTCTTTTGCTTGTTCTTCTAGGTGGGTGAACCGCTAAAATGCGAAATTAAAGAAGGGCTAGGATTACTTTACATTTTAATACATCTGTAACTACATTGTTATTAGTATACAGAATGTAACGGCGGTTTACTGTATAGGTGCCATCCAGGGTATTCTGAATCGTAGATTCAGAATTATCTGGCCTTTTGGCCTATTTGGGAGTGTGTTTGCTAGGTCACACGCCCTCACGCAGAATCGGTGATTCTTAATATCTTAGTATTTACAACAAACTCTATTCCCTCGCTGCGCTCGGCAGCTTACCTCGCTCAGTTCAGGCCCTCTGGTTTTATACAGAGGCTGCTTATATATAAGTGCACCTACTTGCAGCTCTTCTCCTGGAGAGCTTGAGTTTATATAGTTATGTATTTCTAAAATAGTACTGAAAATTAATAAATATATGGATTTAGACTCTTAAAAAGACCGCGAATTTTAAATATAGCTATATTTTATGTCTATGTTATATGAAAGAGAAGGGATGTATTATTCCTATTTTGTAGCCGTATTTCATTTGATTGAATGTATTGGTTGATGACTATAATAAAAAATATTGGACTCAGTAAAATCGAGAGATAAAAGATATAATTAACTAAGATTTTAAAGTAGTTATAGAGATAGTAAAAGTATATTAGTAAAATATTAAATTATAGAAAAATATTTAAGTATACTATATTTTAACTGTCTTTAAAAATAATAATAATCATATTAATTAAATATATATATATATATATATAA